CAACTCCGGACAGTGTAGATGTAGCCAGCTCTTTGCGCAATTGGAATAACTGAAATCTCGTCCAAATACCCCTTGCATGCTATTTCTCTCATGGTAATCTCGTACAACCTCTATTTTCGCTACTATTAAAGAGTCTCGCTTTTCGCGAAATCGACGAAATTTCGCTCTTTCTTCACCACCGATGGAGTGCTGCCAAGCCAAACTTCCGTTTTTCGACTTCAGAAGGGCATCTCAAAGTTTGTCGCGGACTGTGCCTTCAATCTTATGCATACTTATTTATAATATTTGCAAGAGGGAAGCGTCTAAGGAAAGATGCTTGGTCGCAAATTGGTGATTAGCTGTATAGCTAACAAGATTAACAATGATGATTAAATACATTAGGCCTCTTCAGCAAACTGAACAACACTGCCTTACAGCAAACACCTCCACCCAATACCACTATAAAAAGTAAGCTGTCAAGTTGACCAATATTTTTGCAAATATCGATTGAGGAATGCTCAATATAAAGGGGAATACGCAGACATAAAAAATTTAATGAAAATACAGGTGATTTTTAACATTCGTGACATACAGGTAAAATATAAGTTTGCAGTCAGCCTATGGAACAGGCAGTAGTCATGTCAAATGAGAAAAGGCGATGTTTCGAAGGTTCTATCCGAGATGAACAACAATGATTGAAGATGACAGTCGAAGGCGCGCAATCTGATCCGCGATTTATTTCCAGTGGTTTCCGCTCCTTCCTCGGCAAAACTGAACATGCGCTCCAGTTCCTAATCAGGGATCGATCAGTGAAGGAGAAACAAAGATATGCTGATAAGATGAACGACGAAGGAATCTTCCGCTCCTCAAGTTGAAGCTGATGGAAACCAGGGCCTATGAAGTGTTCATGCCGTAAGAGTGAGATGCACATATTTTGATTAGTGGAAAATAATAGTGCTTGGGAGATCATGCTTCAACAATTTCCGGAAGATGCGCTATGCTGCCGTTTGTGACTAAAACTCCAGAAAATGTAGAGCTTGCACTTAGAACGTTAGAGAGGCTGGTCCAGTTAGAAGTACTATAGTCCAGGTTGCTTACCGAGCAAACTCAAAATAAAGTGGAAAACATGTATTAAAATGTTTCTCTCAACGCTACGGAGTACATATTACTCTTGTAATTAGACTTTTCAGACGTTTAACGGAAAAGCAACTCAAATGTGAAGATCTTTCTTTTGAATGAGGAACGAAAGCAAAACAAGGATGTAATCGGTGAGCCCCGATAGTGATCCCACCGTTTACCGTTTTGAAAAATTCGGCTATCTTTACTCAAGAGATTTGATGCACGACGAAAAAACTATTCACGGTTCACCAGAGCGACTCTATTGGCAAATACTGTGGGGCAAAGTTGAGCAGCATGACCTAATTTTGTTGGCGGAAAAGGATGTTTTCGAAGTTTATGTCACCAAACAACAGCACAAGGTGCGGTCAACTTAATGACCGAAAAAGAACCAACAATGTGTATGGATGTCAATGACAAGGGTATTCCTATAATCGAACGAAGCTGTCCAGCATCAGAAAACTTAGTTTAATATACGAAAGATTTTCCTCCGAATGCAAGATCTACGGCCGAATTCATTTCAAGGCTCCATGGTCTTTTAGCTGACTGTATGCTTGCCCAAGCGATCGAAATAGAGAAGGAGCCCCATGACCCATCATCGAAAAAAAATCGCCAACTACACGTGCGATGTATAAAATTAAAGGCGCAGTCCACGGTAATTCCAAGGTACCCTTTTTAGGTAGAAAAGCGGAAGTGTTGATGTAGAGGAGTACATCGATGGCGAAGAAAGCGAGAAAATCCGCCTACTTCAAGGCTTTTTAAAAGTAGGGGAAGTGTAAGTTGTTCGAGATCACCATGACAGGAAAGGCATGCTAAGGGTGTTCGTACAGGATTTAACTTGCTCTCACTGCGAAAGGAGACGACTACATTAAGTCGAAATTGTCCGATACTGCCTCTCACTTTCGCCATTGTTTATCACAAGATGTTTGAATTCCCTACATGGGAGTCTCTTGAGAAAGTGCAGCCTCTACAAAGCCTTCGAAACTCGTCCACTATGGGTGTGGCATTCCACGATACAACCTCTGGCCCCTTATTGTGCCCTATCCAAGGCCTTTTTCGACCTCATAGCGGCAGGCATGGCATAAGGGGGCATCTTGTATATATATTGTGGGGAAATCTCAGAAACTATTCTGAACTGACGTGAACTGTGCCTTTAAACGCTTCCGCTAGAGCATGGGACAACTGGTGCACCCTCACACGGTCCAGGAACCAAATCCCGTGGGCCAAGTCAATCAAGCCTTCCATCCCTTCATGGACGGCTACTTGATCCTAACATGTTTTGGAGGAAGAAGTCACTGACTTGAACATCTAGTACATCGGCTGGCCATCTCAAGCCATTATACAGGCCATACACGCATTCAAAGCGCCACTTCGATTCCGAATGGAATTCGAATGTATGGACGGAGGACATGCTGGAAGGATTGGTTAGCCAGAAGACTTTATAATTTATGGTTTCTCCCCACTCAAACTAGCTGCCCATAATAAAATATTCGTGAGGTCAAAAACCCTTCAATGAAAACAGTAGCGTAAGCATTTGCAGCACCTGCTGCAAAGATAACATTGAATTTAAAAATACTGCTACATTCAAAAGCTTTCAACTTCACTAGATGGCATTTACCCCTAAAATTGCTTGACGACTTCTAAACATGTATAGCTCAACAACAGGGTAAAGGCGTTCTTGACCAAAAGCATTTTTTTTTCAAAGTTTTCGTTCGAAAATGCACACGTGATGCATTCAAAATAATAACTCATGAAGGAGCCTTTTCTCTTTCTATTTGATTTTTTTTTCTTTTGAAGGTGAATGACACCAGTATCCATGACACCTCGCATATTGGATATGCTCGTCACTCAGCGACCACTCCACTTCCTTCACTTGGTCCCCTATCATGGTGGTCGCTGCTCTTCTTTTGATACCTATTCTAATTAACACAGGTAAGAACTCTCCCATATCGTGCATATATAGGCAGATAAGGCAGTGTCCCCAGATTCAGCGCAATCAACTAACTTGCTACCAAATACAAAAGAGCTCCCTTGTGAGGCGAAGAAGAAAGTGATGCATAAAAATGGGTCCTCTCGCAAAAAAAAACCGTTTACGGGATGATTCTAGGCTCAATCTTGCCTCGGCTTTTGACCGTAGACCCTGCTTTAAGATTGGTGTTACTTAAAGGCACAGTTCACGTTGAAAGTGTTTGTGAGACTTCTCCCTAGGATGAACCTGTGACCCCCAAGGATAGCCTAAGAGAGGCAGCGAAGTCGAAGACAGTCAAGTTAGGACGGGACAAGAGACCCCAAAACCAACATAGTCGACGTGCTCACTCAATCCGGACGAGTTTTCAAGCGTTGTAAAAGCTGCAGAGATCGCACAATTCGCACTGGGACCCACAGCTTGCAAGCAGGCAGCGTATTGCAGTCAGCGGCACGCGTTCAAACAGCTCGTCCAAACACCCCCAAGAGGCAACTTTTTCATGACTTTCTTACCAAACCCTTGATTTTGGTTCATTTTTGAAGCCTTATGTTTCTCTAGATACGCTCTTCGCCACTTTTGCACTATTCTGGACCATCACTTCCATCATTGCTCGGCTAAAACTAGATAACCCAAAATTATCGTGAACGGTGCCTTCAATTTTGTAAGTCTTCTTAGGCAGCTTGGATGGCAGCTCTTCCATTTCGTGGTCAGCTCTGATGCAAGTACTTCGAGCACTTAGTCTCACTACTCACGAAGCTAACCCCAACTGCTACTAAATTTTGAAGTTGGCATTGACTTCAAGGATAAAGTAATATCCATTACCATGAACATGAGCTAATGAGGCTGTCGTACTCACTGAACCACATGCTACGCCACGAAGTTTTTCAATGAAAGAAGTTCTGAGCTACATATCAATGTTTTACCTTGTTAGATACTGGTAACTTTAACGAATAACTAACAAAAAGATCATTTCAGTCAATTCGCTTTCATGCCACCAGTGTGCCGGAGCAGCGTATCTGCCACCGAAAGTAGCTGAAGCACTAACGGCAGCGAATATGTCGGCGACGGTTCCCGTCAGTGGGAACTGCAAAGCGAAAACTGGAACTGATGTCTGTACAGATAACTTCTGTGTGAAGAAGACTGGTAAGGATATTTTGCAGCAATTAGAAAATACCAAAAGATGACAAGTTAACGCTCCCAACAGTAAGCCAAAGCAGTAGTAACGCCCCCAGACATAATAGGTATCAGTCTTTTCCTTTTTTTGCTTTTCCTCCTGTGCATTTTTACTGACGTTCACGGAAGTTTCTGGTACCCATTCTATGAACTCCCCAGTGGAATGTTATATCAATTGTAGGAAAGTTATGTGCCGCTATAGGGACAAAAAATTATGGAAAGCCCCAAAAGCAGGAGTGCACGCCTTCCCTGAAATAAGAGGCATTGTTCGAGGGTATTAAGAAAAGGCAGAAAAAAACGTTTACAACACGAATACTGAGTCAGTCGCATTTGGCTATCGCGGTGTAAGTTCAAGAAGAAATATTTAGTGAAGTCACCTAGATAGAGTTGTTACCTTACACCAACAACTGCGAGGCCATGAACTAAGGCTTTGATGGAAAACTGGGTTCTAAGCTAAACTTCGGAGTAAACGTCTACATTTTCAGTAACATACAGTGTTAGCGTCAAGGGCATAACATTTACGTGGGACACCTACACCAAGGTGAGGATCATTCAGATGCACTGTTTCCGTTCGCCTCTAAGGAATGTTTTTTATTTAGGGATGTGCCTCCATTCGAGAAGATACTAGAGAAGTGCCTACAAATACCTGTTATGACATTTCAACAGCTGATAAGGGAACGTACAAACAGGTTGGATCTAATGACTCATTTCCAGATTAATGAGATATTTCCAGAAGGTTCGGAATTGGGGGGATTGAAAATAAACAAAGGGAAATCAAAGTAGCAAGTTAGGCGTCGGAATCCCGACAAATGGATAGATTTTGACGACGAAACCTCAAAGAGTCCATTAACCTATCGATATTTACATATTTCAGAGTGTTCGACATTGCTACTGCCAGAAAGACTTTTGCAATGCAGCAACCAGTCCTGTCGCCACCGCCATCTATCTTGCACTAACGATTTTCTTTTCTAAATAGAAAATTTATCCGATATACAATACATACAGAATTTGATCAAGCAATGAAGCTAGCTAGACCTTGGCAAGGTGGCATGAGTTATTGATCTGGTTCAGTTGGTGGAGATTCATCTCTATCTGTGATAAACCTAAATTCATTCGTTTTTCATTATTTTTGGACCCTTGAGAATCTGACTGATCAATAAAAAATACCAAGTGAATATTTCCAGTAATTTCTATTCGATATGGTTTATACTCTGAAGATACGAAATAACCGCTAATCCCTTCAGAAGGATGCACCCACGCATTCGACTTCCATTCAGAATCTCAAAGGCATATTGAATGCGTATGTGGCCTATACAATGACTTGCGGTGCCCACCCGATGTACAATTTAGTGCTTTTATCCACCCACACGAGTCTGGTGTCAATTAACCGACCCCAGAGGGATGGAAGGTTTGGTTGGCCCAGGCCGATATCGAGCCAGGATTCAAACTCGTAACCAGACACTTATGAAGTGCGTCACTTGCCATTGCTCTACCTCCGCCCTAATTGTAATATGCATGCCCAACACATTGATGAAAAAATTTCTTCTTCCAAACCGGGAACCGCCGGGAGCAACTGGCCCAACTCAGTAGTTTTGAAAAAAAAGAAGTACCAAGACATTTTATAACTTCAAACTTTTGATTTAAAATTTAAGAGATTGTTTCAAATTCCGAGGTGATGGTACGGTTTACCTCTCATATCTAATCGAATTTCTCCGGATCAACCATGACGTAAATAGCCCCACGATAACGACTAACAAAAGTGTTGAGGAAACCAAAGTAAAGCACAGAAGTCCGTCTGTAACAAACAATTTACTGCATAAACTCATTCCAAATAAAGAAATAAGCAAATCGCACTGAAAAGATTCAAAATGAGGGAGAGAGGTTCAGACCCCTAACTCGATAACAGTAAGGTCTCCTACAGAGTTTCATATGGAAGTGGTTGATTGCACTAGGTTTATGCGAAAGACTCGAAATGTAATGTGCATGTATGTCGTTTCCCCATGAAAGCCTTTTCTGCTCTGGACCATAACCACGTTCCGGAAAAATCTCAGTGTACATAACCAAGAGTAATATTCAGTGAGGATCCGGGTACTTCTCTTGTGAACCACGTCACGATCGTCTAAAGATCATCTTCACGCAATTGCCTTCGAGCTGGGTCGTGGCTGCAGT